TTTTTAATATTATGTATTGTCTTATGTCTTTTGTCTTTGTACCGCCCTCCCCGCGTTTTGTACGCAGACCTGAGTCCCCTCAGGGAAAAGGGCGGCCTATAAATTATAATAAAAACACTATAAACACTATAAACACTATAATCGCAGAGGGCAAATCCGCGCATTCCCAAGCACTCAGTACCCTAAACCTAACCCTAACCCTAAACCTAACCCCTAAACCTAATCCTAACTCTTACCTTAATTGAAATCGGCTTTCTGCCACGGCACTGTTTTAAAGTGCCCTTCTGTTGCCGCGCTGTTGTCGCGGCGGTGATGACGTCGCGGCTTTAGCGACGCGCTTATGTCTCCGCGGATAAGGAGACATAACAAAACTTCGCGGTTTTGTCGTGCCACTGACCAGCATATATTCAATCAACCCATCTTTATTATGGTCACAGACCAGCATGTATTATATTCTTCTCTTGAAGGGTCAGGAAAAAAAATAAACCAACGTAGACTTCCTAAATGTAAAACTCCCTGAATGAAAATGAAACAACTTTCCTATTGTCTGCATTTTTCTTTTGCCAATTCTCCCTTTCTGCTGCTGCTAAAGGGCAGATTTTTTTCCTTCATGCCATCGCTCTGCTAAACACTTCATCCCTGCAGTTCTGTCTAATGTGTACCCAGTTTCCCTGAAAATAAGACCTCACCAGATAATAAGCCCAATCGGGCTTTTGAGTGCATGTGCTAAAATAAGCCTTCCCACAAAAATAAAATATTGCTGAAAATATTGCAACACAGCAGCAGCCACGAGGTGATCATGTTTACCGCCTCCTGCACCTCAAAAATAATAAGACCTCCCCAAAAAATAAGTCCAGGTACTTATTTTGGGCGTCAAAAGAAAATAAGACCGTGTCTTATTTTCGGGGAAACACAGTACAGTGTGGCTGTAGCATTCTAATTTATCCTTTTTATTATCTTCTTTACTTCACCTTACACTCACCTTTCCTTAAAGGTCTTGTATACCATCTGTCTTTCTTAATGTCTGCAAGAGTCAGCCTGGATGAGGGGTTTTCGTTTAAGAGTTTGAGAAGCAAGGCTGCAAGAATTAAAAGATACAAAAAGCAACTTCGGTTAAAATACTCTATTGAGAAATATCTCCAAACCAAAAATAAAAATAAAAAAATTAACATTGGATTTGCAATGTTCTTTGGACGATGAATTGAATCTGTAAAAAAATAAACCCGTATTCTTCCTGTGCTTCTTCCAAAGAACATTACAAACCAAGAGAGGAAGAAGTCATAGATTATCTCCCGGTTTAGAGACAGGATTACTCAATCTGCTGAAATACCAAGGGGCAATGAGTCAATCTTCTTCCATGGGGAAAGATATGTCTTTCTTTCTTTCCAATCACAGTATTCTTGGCAAGTATCGGCAGGCTGGTCCCACGGCAGTTCTGCAGGAAAGGAAACCACATTTTAGAGCTAAATTTAACAAAAACACAAAAGGGTTAGACGGAAGATTCCTAATTCATCCATATTCCCCAATACATAGGCGTCTGCCCTTCATTGTATAAGAATTCCTGCTAGGAAAAAAAGGGAATTCGATTGTAGGTAGCTTTTACCTCCTGCTAACATCGCAGTCAGCACTATTCCACATGACCAAACATCCACAGGCTCAGCGTGAAATTCTTTCTTTTTCAGGACTTCGGGGGCCAGGTATGGAAGCGTGCCACATATCCTGTTCAGCAGCCGCTCGCAGCCGTTATATTTAAATACAGTAGCAAGCCCAAAGTCTGAGATCTTGAGGTTGTCTGAGGAAAGAGCAAAGGACACCGCATCATCCTCGACATTCGATTAATTCAATGAAATCGCCGGAAAAGCAGTCAAGAAACCCTGAGCATGCAGATAAACCTTGACCTCAAGGACTCGCTAAAAGAAGGCAAATGGCCAGCTGCCTGCAAGGAGGATAAATCCTTCTGTTGCCCACCATTCAGTCAGAGCTGAAGAAGCTTCTTGGATGAAAAGCGAAACATCTTTGAAGAAAAAAACCAGAAAGTCCAGTTGCCTCTTGAGAAAAAAACCACCTTTGGGGACAACCATGACTGAGAATCTCCCCAGATTTTTAACCTTAAAAAAATATCCAGGGGGCTGAAGAAGATGCAAATAAATCTCCAGGTAAAGAATAGAGGTTTCCATTTCCAGCATTTCGCTCATGACCTTAATGAATAGATTGGGAAGGAGGGTGAAGAGTATACAAACTACAGGTAGTCCTCAACTTACAGCAGTTCACTTAATGACCATCCAAAGTTAGAACGGCATTGGAAAGACTGACTAATGGCCATTCTCCACACTCATGGTCATTGAGGCATCCCCCCGGGTCACGGGATCAAAACTGGAAACTGGTTCATAGTTAGGACGGTTGCAAAGTCCCATGGTCACCTGATCGCCTTTTTGCGACCTTCTGACAAGCAAAGTCAATGGGGAAGCCAGATTCACTTAACAACCGGGTTGCTGACTTAGCTGCAGTGATGCGCCTACCACCTGTGGCGAGCAAGGTCACAAAATAGGGCGAAACTCACTTAACCAATGTCTCACTTAGCAACAGAGATTTTGGGCTCAATTGTGGTTGTAAGTCAAGGACCCTTCCCATTTTCGGTGACCCCCCTAGAGCTGTGATGGCGAAACTATGGCATGCATGGAACCATGGAGCCATTTGTTAGGACACGCGAGGCGCTGCCCTGCTTCGGCCTTCTTTTGAGGCCATTTTTCACCGCCCGGAGACTTCATTGAAGCCTCCGGAGCATGAAAAACCAGCCCTATGGGCAAACTGGAAGTTTAGGAATGGACATCCAGTTTGCTTATGGGATCATTTTTCACTCTCCGGAGCCTTCAGGGGCCTTCAAGAGGCTTCCCTGAAGGCTCCATAGGGTGAAAAACGGACCTACGGACAAACTGTAAGTCACTTCCGGCTTGCTCGTAGGGCTGATTTTGACCTCCGGAGCCTTCCCTGAAGGCTCCAGAGGGCAAAAACCAGCCCTACGAGCAAACCAGAAATGACTTACAGTTTGTCCGTAGGTCCATTTTTCGCCCTCCGGAACCTTCAGGAAAGCTCCTGAGGTCTCCGGAGAGCGTCCCGGGAGGGGTGGGTGAGGCTGTTTTCGCCCTCCCCAGGCTCCTAGAAAGCCTCTGGAGCCTGAGGAGGGCAAAAAAACAGTGCCAAAAGCGGTGTGTGTGTGTGTGTTTGTCGCTGGTCAGGTGGACATGTGTGCGGGGGGCGCATGCGTGCATAGCATTATGGGTATGGCACACCCGTGCACGACCCCCTTGCGCTCCCCACGCTTTTGGCATGAGAGCCAAAAAAGGTTGAAACTGCCCTTGCTTATGGGATCATTTTTCACTCTCTGGAGCCTTCAGGGGCCTTCAAGAGGCTTCCCTGATGGCTCCATAGGGTGAAAAACGGACATACGGACAAACCATAAGTCACTTCCGGCTTGCTTGTAGGGCTGATTTTGACCTCCGGAGCCTTCCCGGTCCATTTTTCGCCCTCCGGAACCTTCAGGAAAGCTCCTGAGGTCTCCGGAGAGCGTCCCAGGAGGGGTGTTGTAAGAAGCTCTGAGTGAGAGATTTGATTTTTTTTTTTTTAGTGTGATTGACAAAATACAGAGAGTCTCTCTCTTAATAATTGTGGGGTTCCCAAGACTATTAGGTGAGTAATAGCTGAAAAACAGAAAATTGGAGCATCTGAAGATTGAAATGAATCTTCTGTTTTCTGGAGACAAGCTCCCCCCCCCCCCCCGTAACCCTAAGGTTTTAGGGTACAAAAGAAAAATTACTTACCTCTTGCATCAAGTAGCAGATTCTCTGGCTTTATATCCCGATGTGTCACTCCTATGCTATGGAGGTAGACCTTGTTAAAAAAAAATGCAATTCTATTAATTCTTTTTGCCCACTTCAAAACAGAATGTGGGAGCAATTGGTGAAAAGTCAGCATAAAGAGACTCACCACGCCAGCAATTAGCTGGTGGAAAAATCTCTGCGCTTCTGATTCTGGCATACCGATATCAGGCTCTGGGGGGAAAAAACCACCATATTATTGTTATGCAGATGCTAAAATAATCTACATCATCAATAATTTCTTTTCCCCACTAGAATTCTGCATTTTAAGACAGGATGGCTGGAGAAGCTAATGCCAACAAAGGGATTATGTTTTAGAAAGGGATATTTCATTCTGCAACTTGACACACGTTTATTTATTAACTTGCCGCTCATACAGTTTCAATGCAACTTTGGGCAGCTTATAGCACATAGACATTAAAATTAACAACAAATATACCTAACTCAATAAAATAACAATATAAAATCATGATCAGAAGACGGGGAAGAAGGGAGGATTAACTCTTTAATTAATCATCTAATTTGGAATCTTTTTAACTGATATTAGTTTCTTTTAAGGCTGGCTTGTTATAGATGCATTTAAATAACCCTGAAAAAACAAGACAACCAAACAGAGATGCATTTAAACCATGTCCTCATTGGAGAGGCAGTTTTATATCACAAGTCTTTTAAATTCTTCTATATTTCCATTTTTAGAAGGGATGTGGTGGCTCAGGCGCTCATTGATCAGAAAGGTCGGTGGTTCGGATCCCTAGCGCCATATAACGGGGTGAGCTCCCGTTACTTGTGCCAGCTTCTGCCAACCTAGCAGTTCGATAGCACGTAAAAAATGCAAGTGGAAAAATAGGAACCATCTTTGGTGGGAAGATAACAGCGTTCCGTGCGCCTTCGACATTTAGTCATGCCGGCCACATGACCACAGAGACGTCTTCGGACAGCGCTGGCTCTTCAGCTCTGAAACAGAGATGAGCACCGCCCCCTAGAGTTGGTAACGACTAGCACATATGTGCGAGGGGAACCTTTACCTTTATATTTCCATTTTAAATTGAACCGAAGCATAAATTGTATAAAATAAGCAAATTAAAAAAAAGACCATCTAACTCCTCTGCTAGTGGGGATGCCTTTTCTTTAACCGACCTGCTGGCAGAAATGGCTTGATTTCAGAATGCCGGCTTGTAGTAGATTCATATACTGTGCTCAGCTACAATGAAAATTGCTTGGTTTAGTTTTGGTATGTTATTGAATTCAACCAACCATGGTTTATACAGCGAACAAACCACGATGGAGCATATAAACTGGGTTTTATAAATTGTCCCATGGAGACAATTAGACAATTTAGCATGGAGAGCACTTGACTATAAAAGTCTCCAAGAGTTGGACACGACTGGATGGATAAACCAATAAACTGTGGAAAAATGGGAAATAGATTCCAACTGAACTAAAATAATCCAACTAGTTTGAGTTGCCTTTCTGATAGCTACACAGGAATTCCCACAAGGTTCCTTCGCAGTGAAATAACCGAAGTCATTGTGTGACACCCTACAAATTCTCCCTTACCTATTCGGTCAAAAAGCTCGCCCCCCCTGCAGTATTCAAGGAAGAGGTACTGAATAGTGCCTTCTCGACGATGCCCGAAGAATTTCACAATGTTCTCGTGATTCAACATTTTGTTGATACAGATCTCCTTCCTGATCTGATCCGTACATTCAGCGGCACATTTTATGTCCACCATTTTCACTGCAACTGCTTCCTCGGTGCGCCTATTCACAGCTAGTTGAACTCTAAAGAGGAGATCAAAAACAGGGTTGCAAATAGCAATAGCACTTATATACCGCTTTACAGTGCTTTACAGCCCTCTCTAAGCAGTTTACAGAGCCAGCATCTTGCCCACAACAATCTGGGTCCTCATTTTACCAACCTCGGAAGGATGGAAGGTTGAGTCAACCTTGAGCCTGGTGAGATTCAATTTGTCAAACTGCAGGCAGCCGGCAGGCGGCAGAAGTAGCCTGCAGTACTGCACTCTAACCACTGCACCACTGAGGCTCAAATAAGTTTTCTATCCTGGAAATTAAGATCAATATAGCCTTGCCCACCATCCACTTTCCTTCTACAGAAAACAGGAGCCCTCCCCCTTAACTTAAAAGAGCATGACTTCCCCCATTCCGTGATTCTTCAGTATCATGGATTACAATTTGCAGCTCATCCTTTTTTCTACAGGCTTTATTTGAACTCAGTGTTTTATGCATTCACGTAAGCAACTTACTCTCCATAAGCGCCTTCTCCAAGAGTCTGCACCAAGTCCCAGTCTTCCACAAACGGCACTGCCATCTTCACAACCTGCACATCTGCTACAAAGATTTGAAAATAAAAATACATTTATTTATCCAGCACACCTATCTCACAAACACAGGACGATGAGCAGCATACAACATAACAACAGTTAAAAACTCCATATAAATAAAATAAACATCTAATACCAAGAATTACAAAATAGGGCTGCCAGGTACGCATTAATCATATATATGTGTGTGTGTGTGTGTG